CCTGCTGATCAGCTCCCTCACTGCCATTGAAGGCTCCAGCGTGTTTCCTTTTCAGGTGCTGCATCATAACAGTGGTGCTTCCGTGCCATGTTCATTTGTTTTTACAAAAGTTGCATGTTACGACTTTTTTCGCTTTACAAAGCGCAGGCTGTCTGTGAATTGAGACGCAGCTTGCGTTTGCGGTATCGGTCATTAGAACAGTTGACTTTACTGCCTTTTCAAAACAGCCTTTTCTCACCAGCGGCGCTGACTCGCTCTGCCGTATTTTTTTTCTTCCCGCGTTTCAATCGAGTGGCAGTGATGACGACGGCGGCGGATGACGCATTAATCGCGCGACACAACTAATCGATGACGAAATTCGTTGCCAACTTTTTTAAAAGTCGATTTTTATCGATTTTATCGATTCGTTGTTACAGCCCTAGTAGAAAGCGTGTTCCCTTACCTGGTGCAGTGTGAATACAGCGAGTAGAGCACCGCGTACTGGATGGCGGGGTAGAACACAGCCAGCTCAGAGTGGACCAGAAGCAGGTTCTGGCTCAGCAGAGTGAAGACTGTTGGAGACAACGCCCACATCTAGAGGAAACGGAACAGACCTTCAGCATCCACATCTGCAGCTCCAGCAGAGGAAGAAGTCTGCGTCGTCAGACCAGCTCACCCCTATCAGCGAGTTCTTGGTGTTCCCGATGGTGGTGAGGGTGCTGAGGTTGAAGATGACGGTGAACTGAGCCTTCTCCACAGGCAGGCTGAGGGAGGCGAAGGCGGGGTGCTGGATGGTGGAGCACGGGCTGCAGGGGCCGGCGTCCCGGTCCGACGGAACCAGGCTCTCCATCAGGCTGCGCAGAGCGCAGGCCATCTCCCCCAGCACCAGTTTGTACGCCGCCTCCAGCGTGGGGATGTTCTTGAGGCTCAGCAGCGCCTGGTAAACGCCATGGACAGCGGCCATCACCTGTGGAGGACACCAAGAGAGGCGGGCGGTCAGTTCTGCTCAAACCTTTCAGGAAATCAGCTTCAGCGCCTTCTGGATCAGGGAAGCTGCTGATGGGAGGAGGTTTCCTACATGTGAACCTCTACAGCCTCAGTTTTTGGGATAAACGGGGGCCAGATGGGGCCCCACGTACGCCCAGCCTGACCGATTCTCGCTGCCAGCTTCTGATGCTTTCTGATTTGTGGGTCTGCAGCGCACCCCCCCACCACAGGTGCCTATTTTCTTCCCATCTAAACTTTGTTCCGGCAGCGTAAACAGGCGGCGTATAGAAAGGTTTATGGGACGTTTGCTGCACCTAGTGGCTCAAAGAGCGTGGACATGCAGAGCAGCTGTCAGTCTGTTCGTCTGATGCTGCGTCTGCTGGTCCTGCTGGTTTAAATCCAGCACTGACTGGGACTAAAGGGTTAAAGGTAAGCTGCTTAGAGGGACGTTCCTGTTTCTATGGTTTGAGTTTGAGGTTTGAAACTATGAGATAAAACAAAGGACT